CACCAACAATGCTGCACCAACAATGCTACACCAACAATGCTGCACCAACAATGCTGCACCAACAATGCTGCACCAACAATGAAGCACCAACAATGCTGCACCAACAATGTCATCACTAGTCAGTCACGGTACGTAAACAATCCTAAATACTGACGTGAGAACCGCGCTGGTGAAACGCAAGAGAGAACAGAGCTATAACAGCGAATACTCTCATATACTCTTATAGAACACAAGAGCATCCCTAACTGTATTATTAGCTTTTATGTCATCTGCATACATGGAGCACACGCCTGACACTACTTCTGGCTGATCGTTCATAAATTTATAAAAACAAAGAACAAAACAGGTTCAAGAACGCTTTCTTGTGGCACGCCACTGCGCACTGATGCCCAGTCTGATACGGTTCCTTTCACAATGACACGTTGTCGTCTACCTACTAGAAGTTCTCTGATTCATTGGAGTACGTTCCCCTCAATTCCCAAAGATTTCACTTTACGCAACAGCCGCTCGTGCGGAACACTTTCAAATGCTTTGGCAATTTTTGGCCACCGGCTCCTTTTTGTCCAGCAGGCGAGTCCGATAATTGTTCAAAGTAGACAAGAGGTTAGTCGACAAGAGAGTAGTGATCGATAATCCTATCCCTCACAACAGATTCCATTACCTTACAAACAATTGTGAGACTGACAGGGCGATAGTTTCCGGGGCTACTCATGTCACCTTTTTCGAACAATGGTGTTACTTGACTTTTTTACCGTACTCTTCAATACTCTCCCCGATTACTTGGAAATAACTCCATTACATTTACATAGCCCTCTATTCCTCGTATTTACCTCAATCACAGAAAAGGTTAATTAATTACTTAATTAATTAACCTTAATTACTGCTATATAACCCCATCTCCCGTGGCGTCGGTGGTTCGATATCAACGATGGGACGAGCGCAGCGCTTGTTAAAGTGCGAGCTGTCGTATGAGACTGAGAAGTGGTCGCAGCTTGGATATTGTTGGAAACTTAAACTTCGTTCAAGCGTTGTAGAGTTTAGCACAACGCTTTAGAAGATGAACATTTGATTTTTTTCGTCCACGTTGTTCGAATTTAATATCGAAAATTGAATGCGAATCTAATTGATTTTGAAGCGTAAATATAGTCCCTGACGTAGAATTGGCTCGGAATGCTGGCGAATGAACATTGGGCACAAATTCCGATAACTTCACCATTGGGTCAACTATCAGATAACTACAACTTCAGTTTTTTGCTTTGCACGATGCGTGCCTGGGAGAATAAAGTTTCTAAATGACTATACTAGAAAAGTTCTCGTATGAAAAAGACTTATAACAATCCTGAAAGGCCTGAACGACTTTTTTCATAAACATATTACTGGGCTACGCCAAAAACATCACCAATGCCAGCCTACGTAAAAATAATCGGAATCAACACCAAGAGATCGTGCGAGAAGGAATTTCAATGAGTAAAAACATTAGTGCTTGAGTGCCAAGCATAGGAATCAAGCATCTATGGCATCCACTTCCGAGCCTTCCATGGGTAGTTGTATTGCCAATAATTGCTGTTACTGTATTACTGCTACGTATTTTGTCACGTATTACTGTTACGTATTACTGTTACGTATTTTATAATTACGTATTTCCGTGAGTGAACGTTTCGATCAGGGCCGCAGCTTATCTAAATATTCGGTTTTCCTTAAAGCCAAGAACATTTTCCCCATGGGAAAAACCAGCCAGTGAACCCACGTGAGATGCTGTCGAATATTGGACTGGATTCTCCTATGAGGCGACAAAGGATCAGTTCCGTAGGAGCTTAAGCAGGATGTTGTGCACAAAGCATGGGATATGCATTACAATTATGATGTGCTGCTGTAAATTAATAAAATTCAGTTAGTTTTTCATCAAAGTTTCTTTAATTAGTTCAGCTGAATTTTTGGTTATTTAAGTAGAGCGGAATTTTATTTTGTTTGTCACCTCTAAGACGAGGTATAAGAACAATGTCCCGACACGCCGATGAAATTCGCTGAAAACCATTAATGCAAGAATCTCCGCGTAAGAAAGAGAATCTGTGCTGATTTTGTGAACATAGGTCAAAAAATTATTGAGTTGACGACGGTCAAGTCCCGGAATTGGTCAGGTGATAACTTGACGATGGTCAAATTCGGGACTGAAAATGATCAAATTTGGAACTGAATAATGGTAAGATACGGGACGATGGCTTCAGGTCTATAACGATAATAGTCAGGTGGAGAAAATAACACAGGGCTCGATGCCTAGAACTAAAATCCGGGCGCTGGGACCCAACTATTCTGCTTGACCCGCTAATTTCGGGCTAGCGCATGCTATTTTTTCCAGACGTTGCGTGCCAAGATCCCTAATTTTTGACCTTCATCAAGGACCATAGGACGCTCTTATCATCTCCCCTCACAACCCTCGTTAACCCCTCGACCCCTCGTTTGCCCCTTGACCCCTGCTAATCCCTACCTGGGCTATAGTTGGCCCCAAGCCCTCATCAAACTCGTGACCCTGTCGGCACATGACTCAAGGCAGCCTCGCCCGCCCTGCTAAAACGGCCTCGTAATTCTTATTAAAACGCAAACATCAACGAAATTTGAAAGAAAAAATTAATGTGTAGGATTTTAATGCAGTATAGTGCTGACCAGCAAAAGAACTTGCAAGTAATTAAATGATTTATAATTACGATTACATTTCGTCATAGCAATTCACCACCACCTATCACCTAATTACATTTAGCTGACTAAGTTTACCGAGTGCTCGAGTTCAACATGAATTTGATGGAGAACTGAAATAAATTTGTTCTACGACACCAATGATGTTACTTAAAATGTTGGGGCCGAGATCAATGAAGGAACGTAAGTACAATTTCATCAGTTAACAACGTAAAAATTTCGTGAAAGGATTAGTGACGTTGAAGCTTTAGGGGACGAGTGGAGACAAATGGTGAGGTGACTGAGCGGAGGAGACGATGCAAAGAAGTGAGGAGGTAGACCACGTGATTGGAATGTGACGTGCTGATACCTGGCGCTAGAAATAAGTTTGTGCAGCACAATATAGGGACACAAAATGATATTTATACCACAGCGA